GGAATGAGGGCGACGGCTTTGGCGCCGATGCTCGCTGAGTGGCACCGGGCAAACGTCTGGCCGCATAGATCACTCCAGAGCAAGCAACCATGATGTTAAGGGGGAGATTTGACAGAGGCTGGCAGTGTCGGTCTGATGGTTCAAATAAAATACTCAAGAGCCCCGTATGTCTATAGTGGTCGTCCAAGCAGTACAGTGAGTGACCGATCTCATGAAATGTTGGCTGAAATTCAGAAAAGCGTTTTCGATCAGGAAGGATTACTTAGGCGCAGTTGTAATACTAATCACCCTGCGGCATAATCTTGTAACATTTCGGACTCGGTAGGATGTCAGCTGTTGAATACACTGCTTTTAAGACTACTTTAGGGACTGTACTCGGTAAAAAATTACTTCTTAAGTAACATGCATTTTTCCATTGATTTTCGATGGTCTTGGAAGTTTCAAATATATTTTATAGAAAACACAAACAAAATATGCTTTCTTTCAGTCGTTTGATAGAACATCACGTCATATCCATATTTAATACTCCAAGAAGGAGTATAATTAGGTTTTAAATAAGTTTCTAATTATGGAATTAATTTAAGACCGCACAATATCCTTTCGTATAGCATCCTACTTGTCCGTTCACCGCTGCTTGTCATGAAATATACAATATATTCCGCATCCATTGCAAAATTTTCTGGACTCTTTATAATATCTTTTTAAAGACATATCAGAATATGTGATTTGCTTTACGTGGAGCGCATGCACATTGTAGACTGAAATCATTAAACGCTAGTGCAACGACTGATCAGGCTCCAAATTATTCGGCAACTAGAAAACTCTTTATAACCATATCGTACTTCTTCTTCGAGATGACGTGATGCTCTATCAGACGACTGAAAGAAAGCATATTTTTTGTGGTTTCTATAAAATATATTTGAAACTTCAATGACCATCAAAAATCAATGGAAAAATGCATGTTACTTAAGAAGTCATTTTTTTTACCGAGTACGGTTCCTACGGAAGTTTTAAATGTAGTGTATTTAACAGCTGACATCCTACCGAATCCGAAATATTACAGGATTATGCCGCAAGGTAATTAGTATTACAACTGCGCCTAAGTAATCCTTCATAATCGAAAACGCATTTCTGAATTTCAGCCAACATTTCATGAAATCGGTTATTACCGACAAAGGCAAGGGAGACTGGAATGGCCGTTTCTGGCTTATTAGCCGTCGTCAGCCACTCATACCCGACCCCAAAATCTGGATCACCCAAGACTCGAACGCGCGACCTGTTAGTTAGAAGTCCACGCCTCTAATCGCTGGGCCACGAGCCCGTTGCCCTGTCGGTTTCGATCGTGAAAATACTATGGTCGTCCAAGTCGCGGTGAACTTGCAGAATTTAAAGATGCAGCCAGTAAACGAGGGATAATGAGCCACCCAGAGGAAGCAGTAGTGCCTAAATATGGTGATACTAACATGTCCAAAAAAGAATAACAAGTCATCGACCGAGATTCCACGGAGTTGATTACACCGACGTGGTTGCCCCGCCTGCAATTGAACCAAGCCCGGTAATCGACTCCAGACGTTTCCTGACAAGGCATTGAGGCTTTGGACCTTGTTAGCTGACGCATGAGAGTTGACCCTAGTCTGTGTGCAACTCCAAGCCTCAGTGGTGTGTGAAGGCGATTCATGACTTTCAGGGCATTCTTGATGTATGGGGGTGTTCGCCAAAATTCGGGGTGGTGCGGTTTGGTCTGCCGTCGCGTTTGCTACAGTAGATGTGCCATCCCATGAAATGTTCACGGAATCTCAGAAACATGTTTTCGATTCGAAAAAATAACCTAAGTTGGGCTGTGAAGTTAATCAGTGTGTAACATAAGATATTCCATTTATGCCGGGATGCCGACTGTTGAATGAGCTTTGTTCGGCCAACTGCAAAAAACACATTATACAAGTTATTATTCATGTAGAATTAATTGTTCCCGTTGATTTTCTATGTCTTTATAAATTTATTCATATTTTCTTTAAAAAAACTTGCACAAAATATTCACTCTTTTTCTCAGCTGGCAGCAAATTACGTCTTCTTCAAATTTTTGGCCTGAATTGAAAGCAAACTTCGGTTTATAGGGGCTTTTTCGATTACCGATTAATTTTTCCTCACTTTTCTTTACAGTTGCATTC